GATGAGGACGGTCTGGTGTTGATGAGGACGGTCTGGTGTTGATGAGGACGGTCTGGTGTTGATGAGGACGGTCTGGTGTTGATGAGGACGGTCTGGTGTTGATGAGGACGGTCTGGTGTTGATGAGGACGGTCTGGTGTTGATGAGGACGGTCTGGTGTTGATGAGGACGGTCTGGTGTTGATGAGGACGGTCTGGTGTTGATGAGGACGGTCTGGTGTTGATGAGGACGGTCTGGTGTTGATGAGGACGGTCTGGTGTTGATGAGGACGGTCTGGTGTTGATGAGGACGGTCTGGTGTTGATGAGGACGGTCTGGTGTTGATGAGGACGGTCTGGTGTTGATGAGGACGGTCTGGTGTTGATGAGGACGGTCTGGTGTTGATGAGGACGGTCTGGTGTTGATGAGGACGGTCTGGTGTTGATGAGGACGGTCTGGTGTTGATGAGGACGGTCTGGTGTTGATGAGGACGGTCTGGTGTTGATGAGGACGGTCTGGTGTTGATGAGGACGGTCTGGTGTTGATGAGGACGGTCTGGTGTTGATGAGGACGGTCTGGTGTTGATGAGGACGGTCTGGTGTTGATGAGGACGGTCTGGTGTTGATGAGGACGGTCTGGTGTTGATGAGGACGGTCTGGTGTTGATGAGGACGGTCTGGTGTTGATGAGGACGGTCTGGTGTTGATGAGGACGGTCTGTGTGCTGATGAGGACGGTCTGTTGCTGATGAGGACGGTCTGGTGTTGATGAGGACGGTCTGGTGTTGATGAGGACGGTCTGGTGTTGATGAGGACGGTCTGGTGTTGATGAGGACGGTCTGGTGTTGATGAGGACGGTCTGGTGTTGATGAGGACGGTCTGGTGTTGATGAGGACGGTCTGTTGTTGATGAGGACGGTCTGGTGTTGATGAGGACGGTCTGTGTTGATGAGGACGGTCTGTGTTGATGAGGACGGTCTGTGTGTTGATGAGGACGGTCTGTGTTGATGAGAACGGTCTGTGTGTTGATGAGAACGGTCTGTTGTTGATGAGAACGGTCTGTTGTTGATGAGGACGGTCTGGTGTTGATGACGGACTGTGTTGATGAGGACGGTCTGTGTGTTGATGAGGACGGTCTGTGTGTTGATGAGAACGGTCTGTGTGTTGATGAGGACGGACAAAGTTACTTTTTACAGAAAGTTACTGGACAAAGTATATCAGATAACGTCTTGGATGAACAAGTCACCATATAGCCAAGATGAAGAGTGTCACATTGAACACTCCCCTCTCCCCTCCCCCGACCTGTCAAGACCTCTCGCCCCCCTTGGAACACCAGCCGTCAAATCGCGATAGACTAAACCAAGACTATCACGTGTGAGTCTATCGTGTGTGAGAGGCTGCCGTGCCTCACCAACAAAGGTGAAACGCTCGATAATCCCGGTACCACTTGAACAAGTACTACCGGGACACTGTACAAGTACAACAAGTACACTGGTGTGTGTAGACCGGAGGGCGCCCCCAGGGTACATAGTGAAGTAGACCCACTTGTTCTTATGAGGTCCACTACACTCGCCCGGAGACCATTAACAAGATCACTTGGAGGAAAACTTTATTTAGTCCTGTTATCTTGTCGATCCAGAACGTCTTGAGCGGAAGTCTGCATAGAGGATGTCTGCCCCAGAGGCGGCCCAGGGGTGGCCCAGGGGCGGATTAGGGGCGGCTCAGGGGCGGCCCAAGGGTGTCCCCAGAAGCCCCAGTAACGGAGGTGTCATACTAGGGAGGCAGTTTCCCCTGGGGACACACAGCGGCTGAGGGCTGTCCCCTGAGGACACACAGCGGCTGAGGGCTGCCCCCTGGGGACACACAGCGGCTGAGGGCTGCCCCTGGGGACACACAGTGGCTGAGGGCTGCCCCCTGGGGACACACAGCGGCTGATGACACCCCCTGGGGACACACAGCGGCTGATGACTCCCCCTGGGGACACACAGCGGCTGAGGGCTGCCCCCTGGGGACACACAGCGGCTGAGGGCGGGCCCCTGGGGACACACAGCGGCTGAGGGCTGGCCCCTGGGGACACACAGCCGCTGAGGGCTGGCCCCCTGGAGACACACAGCCGCTGAGGGCTGGCCCCCTGGGGACACACAGCGGCTGAGGGCTGGCCCCCTGGGGACACACAGCGGCTGAGGGCTGGCCCCCTGGGGACACACAGCGGCTGAGGGCTGGCCCCTGGGGACACACAGCGGCTGAGGGCTGCCCCCTGGGGACACACAGCGGCTGAGGGCTGCCCCTGGGGACACACAGCGGCTGAGGGCTGGCCCCTGGGGACACACAGTGGCTGATGACTCCCCCTGGGGACACACAGCGGCTGATGACTCCCCCTGGGGACACACAGCGGCTGAGGGCTGCCCCCTGGGGTCACACAGCGGCTGAGGGCTGCCCCCTGGGGACACAAAGCGGCTGAGGGCTGCCCCTGGGGACACACAGTGGCTGAGGGCGGGCCCCTGGGGACACACAGCGGCTGAGGGCTGGCCCCTGGGGACACACAGCGGCTGAGGGCTGGCCCCTGGGGACACACAGCGGCTGAGGGCTGGCCCCTGGGGACACACAGCGGCTGAGGGCTGCCCCCTGGGGACACACAGCGGCTGAGGGCTGCCCCCTGGGGACACACAGCGGCTGAGGGCTGGCCCCTGGGGACACACAGCGGCTGAGGGCTGGCCCCTGGGGACACACAGCGGCTGAGGGCTGGCCCCTGGGGACACACAGCGGCTGAGGGCTGCCCCCTGGGGTCACACAGCGGCTGAGGGCTGCCCCCTGGGGTCACACAGCGGCTGAGGGCTGCCCCCTGGGGTCACACAGCGGCTGAGGGATGGCCCCTGGGGACACACAGCGGCTGAGGGCTGGCCCCTGGGGACACACAGCGGCTGAGGGCTGGCCCCTGGGGACACACAGCGGCTGAGGGCTGGCCCCTGGGGACACACAGCGGCTGAGGGCTGGCCCCTGGGGACACACAGCGGCTGAGGGCTGGCCCCTGGGGACACACAGCGGCTGAGGGCTGGCCCCTGGGGACACACAGCGGCTGAGGGCTGGCCCCTGGGGACACACAGCGGCTGAGGGCTGCTCCTGGGGACACACAGCGGCTGAGGGCTGCTCCTGGGGACACACAGCAGCTGAGGGCTGCTCCTGGGGACACACAGCGGCTGAGGGCTGCCCCTTGGGACTCTGGTGGGGGGACCTCACCTGTGGGACTCTGGGGGGGAGGACCTCACCTGTGGGACTCTGGGGGGGAGGACCTCACCTGTGGGACTCTGGGGGGAGGACCTCACCTGTGGGACTCTGGGGGGGAGGACCTCACCTGTGGGACTCTGGGGGGGAGGACCTCACCTGTGGGACTCTGGGGGGGAGGACCTCACCTGTGGGACTCTGGGGGGGAGGACCTCACCTGTGGGACTCTGGGGGGGAGGACCTCACCTGTGGGACTCTGGGGGGGAGGACCTCACCTGTGGGACTCTGGGGGGGAGGACCTCACCTGTGGGACTCTGGGGGGGAGGACCTCACCTGTGGGACTCTGGGGGGGAGGACCTCACCTGTGGGACTCTGGGGGGGAGGACCTCACCTGTGGGACTCTGGGGGGGAGGACCTCACCTGTGGGACTCTGGGGGGGAGGACCTCACCTGTGGGACTCTGGGGGGGAGGACCTCACCTGTGGGGGGGGGAGGACCTCACCTGTGGGACTCTGGGGGGGAGGACCTCACCTGTGGGACTCTGGGGGGGAGGACCTCACCTGTGGGACTCTGGGGGGGAGGACCTCACCTGTGGGACTCTGGGGGGGAGGACCTCACCTGTGGGACTCTGGGGGGGAGGACCTCACCTGTGGGACTCTGGGGGGGAGGACCTCACCTGTGGGACTCTGGGGGGGGAGGACCTCACCTGTGGGACTCTGGGGGGGAGGACCTCACCTGTGGGACTCTGGGGGGGAGGACCTCACCTGTGGGACTCTGGGGGGGAGGACCTCACCTGTGGGACTCTGGGGGGGAGGACCTCACCTGTGGGACTCTGGGGGGGAAGACCTCACCTGTGGGACTCTGGGGGGGAGGACCTCACCTGTGGGACTCTGGGGGGGAGGACCTCACCTGTGGGACTCTGGGGGGGAGGACCTCACCTGTGGGACTCTGGGGGGGAGGACCTCACCTGTGGGACTCTGGGGGGGAGGACCTCACCTGTGGGACTCTGGGGGGGAGGACCTCACCTGTGGGACTCTGGGGGGGAGGACCTCACCTGTGGGACTCTGGGGGGGAGGACCTCACCTGTGGGACTCTGGGGGGGAGGACCTCACCTGTGGGACTCTGGGGGGGAGGACCTCACCTGTGGGACTCTGGGGGGGAGGACCTCACCTGTGGGACTCTGGGGGGGAGGACCTCACCTGTGGGACTCTGGGGGGAGGACCTCACCTGTGGGACTCTGGGGGGGAGGACCTCACCTGTGGGACTCTGGGGGGGAGGACCTCACCTGTGGGACTCTGGGGGGGAGGACCTCACCTGTGGGACTCTGGGGGGGAGGACCTCACCTGTGGGACTCTGGGGGGGAGGACCTCACCTGTGGGACTCTGGGGGGGAGGACCTCACCTGTGGGACTCTGGGGGGGAGGACCTCACCTGTGGGACTCTGGGGGGGAGGACCTCACCTGTGGGACTCTGGGGGGGAGGACCTCACCTGTGGGACTCTGGGGGGGAGGACCTCACCTGTGGGACTCTGGGGGGAGGACCTCACCTGTGGGACTCTGGGGGGAGGACCTCACCTGTGGGACTCTGGGGGGGAGGACCTCACCTGTGGGACTCTGGGGGGGAGGACCTCACCTGTGGGACTCTGGGGGGGAGGACCTCACCTGTGGGACTCTGGGGGGGGAGGACCTCACCTGTGGGACTCTGGGGGGGAGGACCTCACCTGTGGGACTCTGGGGGGGAGGACCTCACCTGTGGGACTCTGGGGGGGAGGACCTCACCTGTGGGACTCTGGGGGGGGGGACCTCACCTGTGGGACTCGGGGACCTTGATGACCTGACCGTTCCTGCGCCAGCGGACGAGTGGTTCAGGGTGACCCTTGGGGGGGACACACTCGAGGAGGGCCGACTCCCCCGCCGCCACCACCGTGTCAACTGGCACCGCCCGGAAGTCGTCACGCAACACTGCAACACAATGGCAACATGTCAGTACAACACAATGGCAACATGTCAGTACAATCATGTCAGTACAACACAATGGCAACATGTCAATACAACACAGTGGCAACATGTCAGTGCAACACAATGGCAACATGTCAACACAACACAATGGCAACATGTCAATACAACACAATGGCAACATGTCAGTACAATCATGTCAGTACAACACAATGGCAACATGTCAATACAACACAGTGGCAACATGTCAGTGCAACACAATGGCAACATGTCAGTACAACACAATGGCAACATGTCAACACAACACAATGGCAACATGTCAATACAACACAATGGCAACATGTCAGTACAACACAATGGCAACATGTCAACACAACACAATGGCAACATGTCAATACAACACAATGGCAACATGTCAATACAACACAATGGCAACATGTCAATACAACACAATGGCAACATGTCAATACAACACAATGGCAACATGTCAACACAACACAATGGCAACATGTCAACACAACACAATGGCAACATGTCAATACAACACAATGGCAACATGTCAGTACAATCATGTCAGTACAACACAATGGCAACATGTCAATACAACACAGTGGCAACATGTCAGTGCAACACAATGGCAACATGTCAACACAACACAATGGCAACATGTCAACACAACACAATGGCAACATGTCAATACAACACAATGGCAACATGTCAATACAACACAATGGCAACATGTCAGTACAACACAATGGCAACATGTCAGTACAACACAATGGCAACATGTCAGTACAACACAATGGCAACATGTCAACACAACACAATGGCAACATGTCAGTACAACACAATGGCAACATGTCAACACAACACAATGGCAACATGTCAGTACAACACAATGGCAACATGTCAATACAACACAATGGCAACATGTCAATACAACACAGTGGCAACATGTCAGTGCAACACAATGGCAACATGTCAACACAACACAATGGCAACATGTCAACACAACACAATGGCAACATGTCAACACAACACAATGGCAACATGTCAGTACAACACAATGGCAACATGTCAATACAACACAATGGCAACATGTCAGTACAACACAATGGCAACATGTCAGTACAACACAATGGCAACATGTCAGTACAACACAATGGCAACATGTCAGTACAACACAATGGCAACATGTCAAATGCAACACGAAAGTCAATAATAATACACAAGTAAATCTATAATTCCCAAACTGCGCCACGAGTGTTGCTGGGGAGTGGTCAGTCATGGAGCTCAGTTATGGTGCTGTGTCCACTAAGAGGCGAGCCCCTTGGGGGGGGTAACGCAGGTTCGAATCCCTTGTCGGCTCATAAGGGTTCAGTTTGGATTTTATATGTATAAAATGTATATATTGGTAGTGGTCATTCCTGTATCTTGCAGGTGTATGTTATACATGTTGCAGGTGTATGTTATACATGTTGCAGGTGTATGTTATACATGTTGCAGGTGTATGTTATACATGTTGCAGGTGTATGTTATACATGTTGCAGGTGTATGTTATACATGTTGCAGGTGTATGTTATACATGTTGCAGGTGTATGTTATACATGTTGCAGGTGTATGTTATACATGTTGCAGGTGTATGTTATACATGTTGCAGGTGTATGTTATACATGTTGCAGGTGTATGTTATACATGTTGCAGGTGTATGTTATACATGTTGCAGGTGTATGTTATACATGTTGCAGGTGTATGTTATACATGTTGCAGGTGTATGTTATACATGTTGCAGGTGTATGTTATACATGTTGCAGGTGTATGTTATACATGTTGCAGGTGTATGTTATACATGTTGCAGGTGTATGTTATACATGTTGCAGGTGTATGTTATACATGTTGCAGGTGTATGTTATACATGTTGCAGGTGTATGTTATACATGTTGCAGGTGTATGTTATACATGTTGCAGGTGTATGTTATACATGTTGCAGGTGTATGTTATACATGTTGCAGGTGTATGTTATACATGTTGCAGGTGTATGTTATACATGTTGCAGGTGTATGTTATACATGTTGCAGGTGTATGTTATACATGTTGCAGGTGTATGTTATACATGTTGCAGGTGTATGTTATACATGTTGCAGGTGTATGTTATACATGTTGCAGGTGTATGTTATACATGTTGCAGGTGTATGTTATACATGTTGCAGGTGTATGTTATACATGTTGCAGGTGTATGTTATACATGTTGCAGGTGTATGTTATACATGTTGCAGGTGTATGTTATACATGTTGCAGGTGTATGTTATACATGTTGCAGGTGTATGTTATACATGTTGCAGGTGTATGTTATACATGTTGCAGGTGTATGTTATACATGTTGCAGGTGTATGTTATACATGTTGCAGGTGTATGTTATACATGTTGCAGGTGTATGTTATACATGTTGCAGGTGTATGTTATACATGTTGCAGGTGTATGTTATACATGTTGCAGGTGTATGTTATACATGTTGCAGGTGTATGTTATACATGTTGCAGGTGTATGTTATACATGTTGCAGGTGTGTGTTATACATGTTGCAGGTGTGTGTTATACATGTTGCAGGTGTGTGTTATACATGTTGCAGGTGTATGTTATACATGTTGCAGGTGTATGTTATACATGTTGCAGGTGTATGTTATACATGTTGCAGGTGTATGTTATACATCTTGCAGGTGTATGTTATACATGTTGCAGGTGTATGTTATACATCTTGCAGGTGTATACATCTTATACATATTTGTGAAGGTGCCTGGTAGTGAGTACTTGCTAGAGCCTTGCCTCAGCTCAGTGCCCAGCAGAGAGAGAACCTCGCATCCTAAGGGACCAAAACCCGGATGACCCCGCACTTCGCCCAGATGGCATCACCATATACACCTGGAAGAGGGGCCAGACAGTTGGTGTGGGACTACACATGTGTATCCACCCTGGCTGACACCTGTGTACACTTCGGTGGTGATCAAGCAGGTGGGGCGGCCAGTCAAAGGGAAACAGCAAAATCACTCAAGTACAGGCGACTGGAAGGTCAATACACCTTTGTTCCCATAGCGTCTGAGACGCATGGCCCCTGGGGCAAGAGTGCCTTGGGATTTCTCAAGGAACTGGGCTCCAGGATCATTGACGTCACCAGAGACCCAAGAGCTGCCAGTTTCCTGTTTCAGCGTCTCAGTGTGGCGATCCAGAGGGTAACGCCTGCTGCGTCCTCGGTTCCTGTCCAGAGGCGGAGGAGCTTCAAGAGATCCATAACCTTTAGGCATTTGTCTTGTATCATCCAATGTTCATCAATGTGCATCTATATACTAACTTCAATGTACTTATATATTTATATTATATTATTATTAATTATATATATATATATATATATATATATATATATATATATATATATATATATATATATATATATATATATATATATATATATATAATAAAGGTAATTTATCGATTTTTTTAGAACAAAGGTAAATAATAAAAAAACTCTTGTGAAACAGCAAACATGATATTTTTTCCGTTACGAAATGTGTTCATTAAAGAACATAATGTAACTGTGAACAAATTACTCAGTTTATCAACCCAACTAAAATTCCTGAGTTCATTTGTGTTATCAAATTGCATCGTTTTCCCTGCGACTGTAAAACTGCACGACACTAACTGCAAGTCTCGTTAACATTTCCTTAGTCCCAAAGTTTCGTTAACTTAACCCTTGGTGATGATATACTGGCTTCGTACTGAACTGCTGGATCATCTGCACTCATGTTGGTGGCAGGATATATTTACCACCATTATCTCTACTACCACCTCTACCATCACCACCACCATCACCATCACCACCACCAGTACCAGCAGCACCACCACCACCACCACCTCTACCACCACCGCCACCACAACTACCACCACCGCCACCACAACTACCACCACCACACCATAACCTTCACCGCTCCACCAGACACAGCTTGAAGGAGTAAGCGTGTTCAGCGGCCCCGGAAGGAGAGGTTGTACACTATGGGAGCAAACTGCGACCAGCAGAGAGAGAGGAGCGAGGCTGTCTAATATCTCTCTCCTTACCTCATTGTTACTAGGAAAAGTTGCCCTCTAAACCACTCCTCCAGGGGCGCTGTGTGTGGTGTTGGGCGAGCGACCAGCGTCTGCTGTGTCACCACCAGCAGGGACCCCTGTCTGCTGTATGTGCAGCAGCAGGGACACCCGCCTGCTGTATGTGCAGCAGCAGGGACCCCCGCCTGCTGTATGTGCAACAGGAGGGGACCCCCGCCTGCTGTATGTGCAGCAGGAGGGACCCCCGCCTGCTGTATGTGCAACAGGAGGGGACCCCCGCCTGCTGTATGTGCAGCAGGAGGGACCCCCGCCTGCTGTATGTGCAGCAGCAGCAGGGACCCCCGCCTGCTGTATGTGCAGCAGGAGGGGACCCCCGCCTGCTGTATGTGCAGCAGGGGGGGACCCCCGCCTGCTGTATGTGCAGCAGGAGGGGACCCCCGCCTGTTGTATGTGCAGCAGGAGGGGACCCCCGCCTGCTGTATGTGCAGCAGGAGGGGACCCCCGCCTGCTGTATGTGCAGCAGCAGCAGGGACCCCCGCCTGCTGTATGTGCAGCAGCAGCAGGGACCCCCGCCTGCTGTATGTGCAGCAGCAGCAGGGACCCCCGCCTGCTGTATGAGCAGCAGCAGGGACCCCCGCCTGCTGTATGTGCAGCAGCAGCAGGGACCCCCGCCTGCTGTATGTGCAGCAGGAGGGGACCCCCGCCTGCTGTATGTGCAGCAGGGGGGACCCCCGCCTGCTGTATGTGCAGCAGGAGGGGACCCCCGCCTGCTGTATGTGCAGCAGGAGGGGACCCCCGCCTGCTGTATGTGCAGCAGGAGGGACCCCCGACTGCTGTATGTGCAACAGGAGGGGACCCCCGCCTGTTGTATGTGCAGCAGGAGGGGACCCCCGCCTGCTGTATGTGCAGCAGGAGGGGACCCCCGCCTGCTGTATGTGCAGCAGCAGCAGGGACCCCCGCCTGCTGTATGTGCAGCAGCAGGGACCCCCGCCTGCTGTATGTGCAGCAGCAGGGGACCCCCGCCTGCTGCACGTACAGCAGGGGGGACCCCCGCCTGCTGTATGTGCAGCAGGAGGGGACCCCCGCCTGCTGTATGTGCAGCAGGAGGGACCCCCGCCTGCTGTATGT